TTGTTTGGGTTCCCAGGTCTAACATTTGATAATTTTGCAGGGTCGCTCTCACACAAGATCTCGTGAGAGCATATGGTACCTGGACAACAGATTCAAAGCACATGACTGGAGATACTGCTCAATTCATAACGCTGGAAGCCAGGAGTGGAGGCAAGGCTACACTTAGACATAATACCACAAGGAAGATGGTTGGGACAGGTATGATTAGGAATTTAAAGAATTTTTTCATAGATAATGTATTATTAGATGAAGACTTAAAACATAATTTATTAAGTATAAGTCAGTTATGTGATTAGGGTTACTGTGTAAAATTTTTTCCTACTAGCTGCATATTAAGCCTAAATGATAAAGATGTTTTAAATGAAAAAAGGGTAAATAATGTTTATATGCTAGATTTAAATTGTGTTCAAACTCCTACTGCTTTTTATTTGAAAACTGTATCTAATGAGTCATGGATTTGGCATAGGAGACTTTGTCATTCTAGCATGAAAAACCTTAGGAGGATTACCCAAAAGAACTTAGTGAGAGGTATACCAAAAGTAAACTTTACTAAGGACCACCTTTGTGATGCACGTTAATTTGGAAAGCAAGTCAAGTCATCTTTTCAGTCCAATAAGGATCTTAGAACTAGTAAACCTTTAGAGATTTTACATATGGATCTTTTTGGACCAGTTGGAACTATAAGTCTAGGAGAAAAGGTATATGGATTTATGATTGTGGATGATTACTCAAGATTCACATGGGTTAGATTTCTATTTCATAAAAGTGAATCATTTGAGAAATTTAGAAATTTTTTGACTTGGATTGAAAGGAAATTAGGATGTGAAATTATTTCTATTTAAAGTGATCATGGAGGAGAATTTGAGAATGAGAGATTTGAATAATTTTGTAGGGAAAAAGGAATTGATCACAACTTTTTTGCACCTATTCAGCTGAATGGGGTAGTCAATTAAAATGCGGAAATGTAAAAACAGTAAAGTAAATGACACCAGATTTATAGTGGTTTGGTCTAAAACCAGACCTATATCCACTCCCTAAAGGCACCCTCTAAGTATTGCACACAATCCAATAGTGACTCTCCTTTTGCACCCACAGCAAGGCGGAGAAGCCTTTACAACACACTCTTTTCACCACTCCCCGGTGCGGCAGAGAACCGTCATCCTTTTACACAATCCCCAGTGTTGGCAGAGAACCGTCATCCTTTTACACTCTCCTAGTGTGGGCAGAGAACCCTTCGGCTATTCACACTCTCCAAGTGTAGGCAGCGAACCCTTCGGCTATTCACACTCTCTAAGTGTAGGCAGCGAAACCTTCATCTGTTCACACTCTCTAAGTGTAGGCAGCGAAACCTTCTTCTGTTCACACTCTCCAAGTATCGGCAGAGAATCGGATCTCCTTGACAGATCTTCTCACAAGAATCTAGAAGGAAGAAGGAAAAGAGTGAAGTAATCCCAATTCACAAGTAGAGATTCTTACCTTTGAACTCCAAGTGAATCTTTCACGCTCCAGTGGTAGGAATCCTCCCTTGAATGCACTCTTCCACTATCTCCTTGGCTATTCTCTCAAGAAGCACGAAGATCAAATGACAAAAAGATTGGGTGGCAGTCCAATTTGGACTATTTATATAAAAGGAGAAAAACCGCCCAAAAACTGCAAGTTTTCAATTCTGTACGCAGTGGATCGTCCCGTACAATCATGGATTGTCCTGGACGATTTTACTTAAATGATTTGAAATGACTCTATTTGTATATGTGTACGAAATTTCTTCGTACAGCTGATCATCCCGTACGAACTTAGTTCATCCGGTACGAACGATTTTTACTAGGTCGGTTCTAGAAACTGCTGAAAACTGTTCTAAGTCGGTTAATCGTTTGGATGAAAATTGATTCGTCTGGACAAAATTTTTACAGAGAAGAGATCGTCCTGGACGATTTTTAATTTCGTCTGGACGAAAATTTTACAGAGGACCAATCATCATGTACGATAATTTATTTCGTCTGGACGAAAATTTTACAGAGACCAGATCATCCTGGACGATATTTAATTTTGTCTGGACGAAAATTTTACAGAGGACCAATCTCCATGAACGATAATTTAATTTCATCTTGGCGAAAATCTTACAGAGGCCAGATCGTCCTGGACGATAATTAATTTTGTCCTGGACGAATAGGACTTAGAAAAATTTTTAAGCAAGTTCCTATTCGTTCCATGTGCTCAATAAGAGATAACTATCTGATCGTCCCGTACGAACGGATATCGTCTTGTACGATCAGTATAAATTTTATATGATCTCATTATGTGTGTGTATGTTTTTATTCACTCAAATTACAATCACTCCCTTTCAATTTTATTTCAAAGAAAAGTATAAGATTCAAATTTCATAAAGTATCTCATGCTGAATTTGATTTGAAAACTTCGTAGTCTGGAGTTCAATTTTCCTGAAATGTTAGTACACACTAGAGAAAATACAAATCTTTTAAAATTTTTAGGAGATAACTACACATTTAAACAATAAAGTTTAGAATCATCAAAACTATACAAGTTGCAAAAATATTAAGCATGCAAATAACAACTATCTTAACAAACAAGCCTTTATCCCACTACGTGGGGTCGGTAACATGATTACTTTTTCTCCATTGTGTCCTGCTAAAAGTTAAATTCTCATTTAAATCTAATAAAGAAAGGTCATTCCTAATATTTTCTAACCAAGTCTTTTTAGGTCTACCCCTATCTTTCTTAACATAAGTCAAATATAATACCTCTACTCTCCTAACCGGGTCATCGGAAGGCCGTCGTTTTATGTGACCAAACCATCTAAGGCGACTCTCTCTAATCTTATCTTCTAATGGAGCTACTCCAACCTTTTCATGTATATGCTCATTTCGTATCCTATCTCTAAGGGTAAAGCCACTCATCCACCTGAGCATCCTCATCTCTGCAACACTTAACTTATTATTATGCTTCTCTTTTAATGGCCAAGATTCGACACCGTAAAGCATTGCAGGCCTTACTACCAACTTATAGAATTTTCCCTTAAGTTTGAGGGGTACATTTCTACCATATAACAAGCCCGATGCATTCCTCCACTTCAACCATCCAACTTGAATTCTGCTGATAATATATCTCCATTTATTTCACCATCACTCTGAACAACATATCCAAGATATCTAAAAGGTGTACTCTTATTAATGACTTGTCCAAAGTCACAATCCCCTCATTAGGTCTATTACTACTAAAATTACACTCCATATATTCTGTTTTAGATCTACTCAAGCTAAAACCTTTAGACTCTAAGGTTGACCTCCATAACTCAAGTTTACCTTCAACTCCCTCTCTAGTCTTATCAACAAGAAGAATATCATCTGTAAAAAGCATACACCAAGGTACATCCTCTTGTAAATGTCTAGTGAGAACATCTATGACTAAAGCAAAAAGATATGGGCTTAAGGCTGATCCTTGATGTAACCCAACCGAAATAAGAATGACAGCCAATTTTAAAGCTAATGAAAAAAGATGTTCATTTCAAATGGGATACAGAATGTCAGGAGGCATTTGACAGCATCAAGAGATATTTGTTGAATCCGCCTATTCTCGCAGTGCCAATTCCTAGGAAGCCTCTTATACTGTATACGGCTGCACTAGAAGAATCCCTCGGAGCACTATTGGCCAAGCACAATGAAGAAGGAAAGGAGAATGCACTCTATTATATCAGTCGAAGATTGATTAGAGAGGAGGTGCGAAACTCCCCAATTGAAAAGCATTGCCTGGCGCTGATTTTTGCAGTTTAGAAACTCCGCCATTATATGTTAACCCATAAAACTGATATCAAAGATAGATCTGCTGAAGTCATGATGACAAGACTAGCGTTGACAGGTCATCTGGCCAGGTAGGCAGTATTGTTATTACAGTTTAATATTATATATATGTCATAGAAGGAATTGAAAGGACAAGCCTTGGCAGATTTTCTGGTCGCACATCCTATCCCAGCAGATTCTCCACTAAGTGATAATTTTTCTGATGAGCAAATCATGCAGGTCGAGGAAGATAAAAAGCTACTATTTTGGGAGATGTACTTTGACGGTGCATTGTCGATTAAACTTGCTCGACCTCCAAATATTGCAAGAGCCTGAGCCGGTATTGGTCTTATTTTCGTAGCACCTGAGGGAGGCATAATGAGGTTCCCATTCAGTTTGACTGAATCTTGAACAAAAAATGAAGCTCAGTATGAAGCTCTATTAGCAGGGCTAGAGATTACGATCAATGTCAAAATCCAACACCTCCAAATCTTCGATGATCCTCAGCTAATGATAAATAAGTTCCTCAATATCTACAAGGTTGGCAAAGTCGATTTGGCCCATTACCACCGGCGAGCCCTCGAGCTTATGAAGCAAGTATCAAATGTTAAAATAGCTCAAGTTCCTCGAGGACAAAATGCTAAATCAGATTGTTTGGCGAAATTAGCCAAATAAATTGCGAACATCAATGATGAGAGGCCTATATTCATTGGGGTTTACATTCATAGGGTCTTAGAGCCAGCTCTATTACAATTCTTGAGGGTAGAAAAAATACCATATTCAAGCAAGCAAGATAAAATTCCAGTTGACCGTCAATTCCTCCATTAAATCCTTATGGAGAATTATCCAGAAGAGTATTATGTGGCCAAGAGACGTAAAGCTAGTCAAGCTTCAGAATCGTGATGACATTGTTTAGATATTGAAGTTGAAAATGATTGGAGACAATCGTTCATTGACTACTTCAAAGAAAACAAACTACCAACAGAAAAGTGTACAACTGCACAAATTCGAAAAAGGGCTTTGCGATACGCATTTGTCAATAACATGTTGTACATACGAGCTTTTTATCAAATGCGGTTAAGATGCATAGGGACCAAGTAAGCTGATAAAGTGGTAGCTGAAGTCCACGAATGGCTTTGTGATGCACATCAGTCAGGTCCTAAAATAGCCACTAAAATCAAGAGGATGGGTTATTATTGTCCTACAATGGTAACAAATTGCATTGACCACGCTAAGAGGTGCCATGAGTGTCAGATTCACGGTGATGTTATTCATCTTCCAGCAAATCCACTACACCCAACAATAGCATCCTGGCCATTTGAATGCTGGGGAAAAGATATAATTGGTCCAATAAATCCACAATCGTTGGCCGGACATCGCTTCATACTGGCAGCAACGGACTATTTTTCCAAGTGGGCAGAAGTGGCTCCATTCAGAGAGGTCACATCGGAGCATGTGATCAATTTCTTTACCCACAATGTTGTCTATAGATTTACTGTGCCACGTCGCATAATCTCAGACAACGGTACGGCTTTAAAAAGTACAAAAATTTACAAGTTCGTTAATCGGGACAAATATGATTGGCAATATTCATCCATATACAATCCAAGGTCGAATGGATTGGCAGAAGCCTTTAACAAAATGCTTGTAAAATTGTTGAAGAATATCCTCACCAAGAATAAAAGAGAATGACATACAAAAATGGCAGAAGCGTTATGGGCATACCGTACAACCTATAAGATACCAACCAAAGCCACTCTTTAGTCTCTAGTGTTCGGTGTTGAAGTCGTATTACCATTGGAGATTGAACTACCTTCGCTTTGGGTAGCAATTCAGAATGATCTCACTCAAGAGAAAAATGCCCGCCTCAGAATGGAAGAGCTCGACGCACTTGATGAACTCAATTTACAAGCTAAATAAAACCTAGAAATCTATAGAGGAAGAATAGTGAAATCCTTTGATCGGATGGTGCGCCCTTGAACATTTCAAGAAGGGGAATTGGTCCTGGTGCTAAAGATGATCAATCATCCCACACCAAAAAATCAGTGGCAAATTCATATCCAATTGGGAAGGCCCCTTCGTCATCGAGAAGTTATACCAAGGAGGAACATATCAATTAATCGATCTGAACGGTTAGAGGCCTATGCCACCTATCAAAATTAGACATTCAAAGAAGTATCATGCATGAAAATTCCATTTCTAATATACTTTATGATCAAAGTTTTATGTGCATGGTTATCAGTGCAAGCTTACATTCATATTTTGAAAATTCTCTTGTATGGCAAGAATGCATTTCAAAATCCCCCATCAGACAGGGGGCATTTTAAATATTTCTTCGGGTCGACATTGCGCTACGTACCAAGATCCCTGAATAAATATTTAAAATCTCAAAGATACAAAGCCTACCCAAAATGTCCATGCAAGACATGGGGCATTTTAAATATTCATTTGGGTCAACATCGCGCTGTGTGCCAAGATCCCCGAATAAATATTTAAAATCTCAAAGATATAAAGCCTACCAAAAATATCCCTGCGAGATAGGGGGTATTTTAAATATTCATTTGGGTCAAATTGTGCCACACATCGGGATCCACAAATGAATATTTAAAATTGTAAAATCTCAAATTTATTCCATTCTAAAATGTTCCTACGAGACAGGGGCACTTTAAATATTTATTTGGGTTGACATCACGCTGCATGCTGAGATCCTCGAAGAAATATTTAAAATTATCAATTCAAATGTTATGCAGGTGATCTTTCAATGCTAGAGATATCACCTTCTCCAATGAACAAAGACTCATAAGTTAAGAAAGAATACTTTTGTGGCTACACACTCCTACAATATCGAGCTGAAGAAGTTTGAAGTCTTTCGACATCCTGAAGCTTAAGGTTTGAAAGGGTGTAAGAGGTCAGATCCAATACTCCCAAATATGGCCGGATCGCTGGCAGCTTCGTCTACTCAACAAGTCTTAAAAACGGCTGTAGTAGCGGAACCCCCACTTCGTCAACCCGTTAGTAGGGACTGTAGGAAGCACGAAGGCAAATTTGACTCGACAAGTTCAAGTGAACATAGTCTACCAAATTCTCCTAAATGACTGGATAATCAAAGTTCCAGTAGAAGGATGAGTCTCTAATAATCACTGAATGTTTGTAGGCTCCAAAATCTTCAACCATAAAGGAGAACTCTAAATCTATCAACTTCAATAAAATCAGCATTGGGGAGCACAATTTTCATAGCTCAAGTCTAAAGTCTGAATGGGTGTAAGAGGTTAGATCCAATAAGCTCAAATATGATTGGATCACTCGTAGCTCGATCTACTGAACAAGCCATAAGAATGGCCTTAGTAGAGGAATCCCCATCTCAGTAACCAGAGGACAAAGAGCTATCAAATTCTAGCTCTTTCGATCTAATGAACTCAAGTGATTCAGATTAAAGTTTTCTCAAGTGGTTAAGGATCAAGATACTACCTACGTTTGATACTCTTGACTAAATCCAAAACCTGCAAATCCTTCAACAAATCTGTAAAGCACAAAGCGAGGATCGAAGGAACTTTTCTTCAACAAGTCCGCCGAAGCACAAAGCAAAGGACAAAAGAAAATTATATCAAAGTTCACACAAAGCCTTAGGCTGAATTAAAAGGGTTCATCAACAATAAGTCCGTTATGCACAAAGCTCTGGACCGATAACTTTTCACTACTGTCCTAATATAAACCTAAGGGTTTAGGTCACCGGCAAATACTCCTTCAACATGCCCGCCAAAGCAAGAAGCATAGGCCGAAGGTATAAATCACCTGATAAGTCAGTAAAGATAAATCAGGCAATTATCCATCAATGTCCGCAACACAAAGCACAGGGCAAAAGAAATCAGTATCTCAACCATCTATTGATACTTCCAAGAGCTCTATGGAAAATAAAAATCTTAGTGTGACATCCAAACAAATTTTTAGAGATCCACTAAACGTCTTAGTGTGACATCCAAGTAAGCTTATGGAGATCCACTAAATGAGACATTTATGTGACATCTAGAGCAAGAACCTAGAGATCCATAGAGTCAATCAGCTTATAACAAATGTGATTCACTCTATACTCATACCACATTTGTTGGGGGGCATTTGTTAAACTTTTTATAAGAAACCAAAGGATAAAGAGAGTGAGACCGGTGAATCCACGAAATCCTCGGTGATACCCTACCAAAATCCCGCTGCAAACGGTGTCGCTCTAGTCAATTCTCTGTGATTCCTGTGACCACTCCTCGATCGAGAGCAAGAACGCATCGTTAAATATCGACCGAACTCCTCCTCCCATATGTTGCTCTCTCCTACGGCTTCCATTCATGATACACTCGGTTCCTTTCTCCTTCCCATTCATAAATCACACGACTCTTCTTTCTTCTCCAAACCGAAGCATCAGCTCCTACTCTTCCACTTCCATGACGTCCAGCTCACCGACGCCTCCTCCCGTCGAGCCCGATCCCAATCTCAGATATATATATATATATATATATATATATATATATATATAATTACAATCAATTAATTATAATTAATTAATTAGTAGTAATTAATTATTAATTATAATAAATTAATTAGCCAAGACTAATTATTTATAGTTAACGATTTTTTTAATTAATTATAATTCTATAATTAGTTACCATTAATTATAATTAACTACTTTTAATTATAATTAAGCATTATTAATTATAATTAAGATTTATTAATTATAATTAATCATTATTAATTATAATTAATCATTATTAATTATAATTAATAATTAATTATTAATTATATTTAATTATGATTATTTGCTCTTGCCTCGATCCTCGTGCCAACACCACCAACTATAGCTAAGGTTTAACTCCTAAACCCTAAAACTTTGAAAACCCATTTCCGGCGCTTGCAACACGACGAACGACCACCTATGCACGCTTTTCTCTAACGTGGTAGGAGGGAATTCGTTGCGGTGCTTGTGACGGGATGGGTAATAAAAACCCTATTTTTGCAATTAGTGTCGTATCGGAAAACCAACTCATGCACACTTTTCTCTAGCGTGGTGGGAAGGGAACTCGGTGCGACGCCCACGGCAAGGCTGGGCCAATTATAAATTACTTATTTTAAACTAGTGCCCGAAAACCCATGCACGCCTTTCTCTAGCGTGGTAGGAAATTAAAATTATTATGGCCATGACATCCTCGTCCGAGGGCACCTACCGTGCACGCTTTTCTCTAGTGTGGAGGGAGGCCCAATTTTTTATAGTTTTCCCCTAAACAGGGTAGACGCCGGAAGGCTGCCGAAATTTCAGGTAAAAGATCATACTTGGGACAATTTAGAGCTTCACTTGGACATTGATTGGAGCATCAAATAGACTTAATTCAAACTAAAACAATCAATAATAACTTCAACTTGAATGCATATAAAACAAGAAAATGACTTGAACTCAAGGGATCGCAGAAAACTATAACTTAAACTCAGACTCAGATTTGAACTCAAGCAAAGATTTGAGTTGGACCGCAGGGGACTATGGTTGAGCTTGGACTCGAGCTGAACAAGGACTTAAATTGAACTTGTGGACATTTGAATAGAAAATAACTTGAACTGGACTTGTAATTATAGATAGCATAATATAATGTATAATGCTAAAATCTCTAAAATGAGAAGTGATTAAACATATTAGTATGAAACTCTTGCAAAACAAAATTTTAATTAAAAGTGATGCTTTATTTATCATATGAGAATGATAGTGATCAATTACAACATTTGTAATCATCTTGCGATTAGTCTACAAGCACACTCAACAGGCATACACTGAACACAACAACAAATTCATTGTGAATTATAGTGATTCGTATGCAATAATATGTCTACATTCGATAACAAGGAATTTCATTGAAATATCAAAGGGCCCTCCTACGTGTTACTAATCATGAATAGAGATAAGGAATTTGTGTTCATAATTTATATACAAGAGGAAGTTACTGAAAATACAACTCAATTACAAAGTCAAGGCTTGGGTTCTTTTGAACAATACCATGATTGCAATCAACAATGCGAGCTTTTCACTCAATATCAAGAGACTTGTAATGAACACACTGATCTAATTACATGTGCATACGGAGATTTAATCCCCTTTCGAAGAATGTGGAAAATATGTAACGAGCAGAAGTTCAATTGTAATTTGTTTACAAGCAATTATCCATGGTGGATAAAAATCCTACATCTCTCTTAAAACAACTAATGGTATGAAGATCAATGACTAATTAAAAATTCGTGATGGATAAGTGACCAAATACCTGACTGCAAATTAACGTCAATACATCCCCAACCAATTCGAAAGGAATGTACAACATAAATGCACAAATATGATCGTAGGTGAAGCATGAAGATCTAGTATATCTACAAAGTATGATGAATGCCGAAGTCAATAAAAATCACCCATATCAATTGCAATGGTATTGTGGAAAGAATACATGTATGTTCCCCACAAGGAGAGAAGTTAGACATACAATGTACAAGGCAACTCAGTATACGTGATGAAGCTTGATCATACCGAGGGCTACAACAATCATTTTAGGAATTGATTTCTTACAAGAATCCTTTGGACAACCTGATATATAATCAGTTATTGTAATTGTTGATTCAAAGTAGTGAACACTAAGCCTGAGGTGTGGGACATCAGTAAAAACACAATCCTCCAA